CCCCCCCCCCCCCCCCCCCCAATCGGTCTAGTACGGCCATGCAAAAAGTCAATTGATGTATAACTAAATTAAAGAACTAAATTTGATGCCCTTCAAACTTTTTTCAAAAGTAAAAAGGCAAGTTTTATGTACAAAGTACTTAAGTACACAATAATGCAGTACAAGAATCTATACGTGAAATATTTAGGATAAACAGAAACCAAAGATATTTAGCAAGCCACATGCAAACAACTTTTTTGAAAAGAGTAATTTAATAGTTACACCGCTGCATCAGTATGGAACGCTTTGCCCAATACAGCAAAACTATATCTCTGCATGGCACAGGCCTCTAACAGTATTGTGTATCTATCAGCATTGTAATTGAGTGTGTAAACAGCTCCTTGAAAAGGCCCTAAAGAACTACCATTTTTAAATATTTTTAAATAATAATAATAATAATAATAAAAACAAATAAGTTGCAAAAACTATTACTGAGTAGTCTGCAAAGAAAGCAATTACACTTATTTTCCAGGCCTATCCAAATAAACACCTGCTTTGTAGGCTAATTACTGTTCAGCACTCCATTCTATAGATATTATCAAAAGCAGTGTACATGTTATTTAGTTCAAACCTACTTTCTGTGCCAATAGTTGTTATGTTATGTATAAACAAGAAAAAGTTTCTTATTTCATAAATCCAGACGATAACAATACGTTCTATACTGTTTTTTACGAATATCAAGTCCTGACATAAACATTGTGGTTCGGGGTGTCCGTGTTCATTTTAAGGGGCAATTATATCCCAGGCTCCTGAGTACACCCCGTAACATCTCCTTCCTTCAGAGTTCAACATAAACGTGTTTTTAATTAATTAAACTTGCATTAGGGACAGGTCATTATTTATGGTGGGGGGTGGCACCGAAGAGAAATTTTTTTCGTGACAAAAATTTTGCTGACCCAACCATTAAAAAATAAAAAATTTCATTACCCAACCTCAAGTATCATTTAAAAAATAAATACCCACCCTTGGCCAAAAACGTTACAAAAGGATGTCATTCAGTTGTCACACATGACACAAGTCATTTACCACTTCCGTGATACGTTTGATAACGTTCGGCTTGTGAATGTTTGATAGTTTGATAACGTTCGGCTTGTGAAATTTACTGACTTTTCTGCAGTCTAAAGTTTCATGTTGTCTGCACATTTACTTTCTTTGGAGACACCATTTGTCTCCCAACAAATCGGAAAATGATGAAGATATAGATTGATTCACATATTCCATGACTGTTGACATTGAAGTTTTCAGTCTTCAATATTTGAGTGAGTCATGCTTTGGAAATGACAATAAATTCTTATTACCCAACCTTTGAGTTGTTTCGTTTTTCATTTACCCAACCTTTTACTTACTCAAAATTTTGTTTACCCAACCCTTTTCTCTTCGGTGCCACCCCCCGCCATAAATAATGATCGGTCCCTTAGGGTTCAATCACATAGTCCTCGAGAAATGCTAATCTACGTGTTTGTCTATTGGATGTTCTCCTTGTACCATTAAGAGCTGCATGCTCTTCAGGTTCATGAGCAACCGGTTCCTCGCATTCTGGCAGCTGCCGTAGGTCTGGAACATCATGTTCTTCCATTGGCAATTCTATGTCTGCGTCTAAATCGTCTCGTTCCACAGTTTTCCGAAGATGCCTGCGATTTCTTCTATAGTTTCCTCCATCATTAGTTGCAACAATATACGACCTCGGACTAGCAATTTTTTCACCTTTCCTTTCCTCCAGCTTTTCTTTCCTTTCTCGGGCATCATACGGACTGCATCACCGACCTTGCGTGTTGGAAGTTTCTTTGACACCTTGTTGTAATAGTACGCTTGTTTTGTTTTTGCCTGTTGGAGCTCCTGTTTTGTAGAGTGCATACAGGTAGGCTCAAGCAATTTACGCGAGGTTGGAATTGTCGATCTTGTTCTCCTTCCAAATAATCGTTGTGCTGATGGTGTGTTCCTGTGTTCGAGCGTGGCCAGGTAAGGATCTGCTTTCGAGTCTAACGCTTTCATAATAATTCGCCTTGCTGTCTTCACCGCACTTTCCGCTTTCCAGTTTGATTGAGGATATCGAGGCGACGAGGTTACATGTTCGAATTCATATTGCGCAGCAAAGTCCTGAAACTCGCTGGAACTGTACTCTGGCCCGTTATCACTGACTACCCGCTCAGGTACACCGCAACGTGCCATATGTGCCTTTAATTTTTGGATAACTTCAGTGCTTTTCTTCGAGTATAATCTGTCTACTTCTATAAAGTTAGAGTAGTAATCCACTGTAACAAGGTAGTCTTTGTTTCGAAGCTCAAACAGATCTGTTGCGATCGATTCCCATGTATGTGTTGGGACTGGAGAACTCATAAGAGGTTCTTTTTGGTTTGTTGCTCCATACTGCGCACAAACATTGCACTTCGGGATGACATCCTCAATGTCCTTGTTCATCCCTGGCCAATAGAATACTTCCATTGCTCTTCTAAGTGTAGCGTGTACCCCGCCATGGTTGTAGTGAAGTTTTCCTTTCAATTCTGTTCTCAATCCTTCTGGCACAATCAACCGCTCACCTTTAAAAATAACTCCATTCTGTACTGTCAACTCATCGCGAAACGGGTGATAAACTCGTAATTCCGGAGAAACTTCAGCTAGTGTACCTGGCCACCCTTTTTTCACAATTCGAACCAACGCCTGCAGGTGGCTGTCTGCCTCCGTGTGCTCTTTAATTTAAACTAAAGTAGTTACCGCTAGATTTTGCAACATATCAATTTGCTCTACTTCTCTTTCGTTGCTGATCTTGTGTCATGCATAATCATTACTTCTTCTGTCTCTCTTGGTCCTTCGGCATTAGGCTGTGCAGAGTTGCCCGACTTAGTGTATCTGCCATAAACATAAGTGGCCCCTTCTTGTACACAACTTCGAGCTCAAACTTCTGGAGTCATAGCATCATTCTTTGTAAGCGTTTCGGTGCACTTAGCAGGCTTTTCTTCAAAATAGACTCTAGTGGTTTGTGATCTGATTCCACTTTTACGTTTCGACCATACAGATAACTTTCGAATCTTTCCATCCCAAACACGATGACCAGCATCTCTTTCTCGATCTGAGCGTACTGCATTTCAGTTGGTGTTAGAGACCTTGATGCATATGCCACAGGTTGATTGTTTTGTAAAAGGCATGCTCCAAGACCATTCATGGACGCATTACACTGCAGGACTGGCATTACGTTGGATTCAAAGAACCGTAGTACTGGTGGTTCTGAGAGGATCTACCGGATTTCATCCAACGCTTTCCCATGCACATGTTCCTCCCATATGAATTCTCGGATGGCCTTCGTTTTCTCGGGGTCAATCTTTAGTCCATTCGATGTAATACGATGGCCCATGTAGCTTACCTCCTTGAGTTGAAGTTGGATCTTGTCAGGGTTCAGCTTGAGACCCTTCTCTCTGCATCGTTCCATCAAACCCTTGAGGTTCTTGTCGTGGTCTAGATAAGCTTCTTCATCGGTTGTACCACTGCCATAAACAAGAATGTCATTTGAAAAGACTTTGATTCCAGGGAGACCCAACAAGATGTCATTCACACGACTTTGAAAACTCTTCGGGTGCGGGTGATATGCCAAAGGGCATGCGCAGCCACCGGTACCGACCCCACGGAGTGCCAAAAGTTGTTGCATAGGAACTGGGCTCATCAAGACGGACATGCCAAAACCCGTTCTTGGCATCAAGGACTGCGAAACAGCGAGCCTGGGCTAAATACGGTAGGATATCGTCAATGGTGGGTGAAGGGTAGCGGTTACGCTTGAGAGCCTTATTTAATGGCTTTGGGTCAATACACAATCGGATGTCACCATTCTTCTTGAATGTAACCACAATAGCCGATATCCAGGTCGTCGGTGTATCTACAGGAGCTATGACGTTCATATCGACTAGTCGGTTGAGCTCTGCTTTGAGTTTATCTTTCACAGCCAGTGAAATCCTTCGTGTTGGGAGCTGGACTGGGGAGATGGATTCATCAATCTCCAGATGCAATGTGCCCGGTAAAGTTCCTTGACCCTGGAACAATGCTGGATACTCCTCAATGAGATGCTGATTGGTGATAAACTTGGGTATACATCTTTGACATTTGACTCGGTAGTAAAAATGTTCTCTTTGTTAACTGCAAGTAAGTTCATGAGTTGACTAGCTTTAGCCCCGAGTATGGACTTGCAATTCTCTTCCACTACCATAAACTCTACACTGTATTTCTTGTTATTCTTAGGATTAATAACTTGAATCCTTGTCTTTCCAATAGACTTCACTTCGTACCCATTGTACATTACAAGGCTTGTGTTTGTTTTCACCAGCTTCTTCCCAATAGGCTTTCGAAAACAACCTGCCAGTGTCCTTTTAGATAATACATTTACTGTGGCTCCACTGTCAAGTTGAAAATTTTCTAGGTTTTTATTAATTAATCATCAAGGGGGCACTTTGTTTGTAGGTGTATTTATCAGAGTTAACTGCACCTACCTCTTCTTTGGTCTCCACCAGAGCTATATATTCTCCCTCTGATGATTCTGTATCATCGTTGACTGACTTTCGTTGGCTAAATGGTCTTCGTTGAGCATTACAGACGACAGCGAAATGATTCTTTCTTTCACACAATCAGCATGCTTTTCCCCAGGCTAGGCATTTGAACTTACGTCTGGGATGAGATTTGTTGCAAAATTTACACTTGATTAACACTTTTCATCTCTTTTCTCGACTCGCTTCCTTTGCTCTTTGTACTGTTCTTTTCCAACAGCCAACACTTGCTCACCTTCATTTTTAATCGATTCGAGTAGCTTCGCCGTCTTTTCACAAGACCCAACTGTATCTATACTTTGTTGCAGGGTAAGCTTTGAGACTTCCAATAATTTCTTTCGTGTGGCGTTGTCCTTAATACCCATGATAATACGAACTCTTATCAAGTTGTCTTCCAAATTACCAAAGTTGCAAGTCTTGGCTAAAGTACGAAGGGCTGCGAAGTAAGCATCAACCGTTTCGTGTGACTTTTGATCTCTTTTATCAAAACAATACCGTTCGTACGTCTCATTTGTCTCTCCAATAAAATACTTTTCCAACTTGCTTACGACAATATCGATGTTGTTTCTCTCGTCTTCATTCGCAAAGTCCAGTCCGTCAAACACATCAAGAGCATCAGCTCCAATGCACGTCAACAGAGTGGCTGTTCTTAGTTCTTTATTTGTACTAGGATTATTCGGATCTCTCAGACGTGCTGCTATTTCGTAGTTGTTCCACGAGCGATAAAACCTTTTCCAATTCGTTGCCTGATTACCTGTCATGGCCAGCTGCGGTAGCATGGGAAAATTCAACGGAATTTGTATCACTTTAACCTCCTGAGACGCCATCGATGTTGTCGGCTCATCATGGTCCGACATATTTAAAATATTTTTACAATATCTCCTCGAATGTTTCACACTTTCGCCTCGTCTTGCGCGAGTTAAAGGAGTTGCTGCTGCACAATAGACTTTCCAATCGATAAATAACTGCTTAGTTCACTCCTGGTACCATGTCATGTTATGTATAAACAAGAAAAAAGAAAACAACAACAGCAAAAAACATCACATTCTGTAAACGCAACGTATCGCTAATCAAAAGGTTTGGTACGCCGTTCGCTAGCGCTGGCTGCGAAATTCGACATGAGGTTTGTACACGCGATCAAAATATTGTGTTTTTAAATTAATTAGGAACGTTGTGACGCGACACAGTATGAAGTCCGTATATTCAGCCGATTATCAGGTAAATGATACATTAAAGAAAGACATTCTGCGAGATGAAGCACCACGTACTGCCGATCTGTGTTCCATGCCCTGGCTGAACAGTAATTCAATTGTACCAACAGTTGTGGACTTAACGTCAGTGTTTCTACCCGTGGTTGGCTGGCCATTTCGGTTCTGGCAATTTGCAGTTTGAGAAACCTAGCTTGGGAGTATTGTGGATGGTTTTAATAGTTTCTGTAGAGATGCCACAGGTTGATGTTTAATTTCCCTTAATTAAATTCACATTTTATACCTTTTACAATGTTAGCATCATATAATACATCAAATGTCAACACATATTTTAATGATGCACTGTATGCATTTTAATGCACTGAATGAATTTTAATAAGTGACAATGTGCTCTGATGTGGCCTACTCTATTATTTTACTCTGTCTAATGCCAGATGATTTTACTCGTGAGGGGGAGAGTGCTTCCACTCAATTGGTTATCCCCGAGCCGACGGCTCGAAGCGCCGTGCGAGGGTACTAATCCCCCCCCCCCGGCTATTTACACCTGGGGAAACGAAAACATTAGCGAAGTCTAAGGTTCTTCAATTATCGTGGGCGTGGGTCACCAACGATGGGTGGTCATCCCCACTGATCTCAAAAATATGGCGGACTGTCATGAATATCGGATACTGATTGGTCCAATTTAAAGATTGCATTATAACGACTGCATGACGACAGCGAAATAGCAAACGAGTGTATCTAAAAGTCGAGGGTCGAGAGTCGAGAGTAAAGGTCGAGAGTCGAGAGTAAAAATCGAGAGTCGAGAGTAAAAGTCGAGAGTCGAGAGTAAAGGTCGAGAGTCGAGAGTAAAAAGTCGAGAGTCGAGAGTAAAAAGTCGAGAGTCGATCGAGAGTAAAAAGTCGAGAGTCGGCAAATGTCATCAGAAACAACAAAGTCAAAATACTTTTACAGTAACACAATATATAAGCGATCCGTAACAACGGCTGATTATAGCCGTACGGGCGAGGGGGGGGGAGGCAGTCCCGCACCCCAGTCAAAATAAATTCGGCCAAAAATTGGGGGAAATAAATTTAAAAAGAAGACAGTATATGCAATATGGTATTTGAAAATACCAGAAATATGTAAAAGTAACGAGGAATCGACAAATAGGAAAATATTTTGTCTACTTCCCAACGACAATTTTGGAAATTTAGTTACACGGAAAATTTTATTCAGTGGGTAAAAGTCGGGTAAATTTCTTTCTGGCTCCCTGTTTTTTCCCGCCCGTACGCCTATGACGGCTGAACCTTTCATTCCCTGTGTATCGGAACATAAAGCAAACAATATTTGCGAAACATAATTTAGTATGCCCAAATTCTCGAAATTAAAGTAAACAAGAGGCATATACATGCAATCAAAGGAATAATCCAGTACAATATAAAACAAAAAATTTCGCAAAAATTTAGCCACAACATTCAATAATCAAATAACTATTATCTAATAACTAGTTTTATCGCTTCCTTATATATTACTGTCCATCCTTCCCGCTTTACATGCACCTATTTCCGCGAAAAATTACTCATATGTGAAGCTACATATAAATACTAGGACTTTACAATCACGTGCGAGACATATTACCGTCATTACCACCCGATAGAGTCGCACATACGACAAAAGAATCCTATTTTTACTGGCTCGTATTTATGAATTCACAATTGTATGAATCGTTAGATTGTGATCAACGTGGATTTCTTAATACGCTCTCGTTTGATATAAACGTACGTTAATGAATAAGTGACATTTTAGTAGTACAAGCCTGGAGATGGCTGTCAAAATTCAGCGGAGTTTATGTGCATGTCAGTTAGAATGAAATGACATGTGAAAACATTTAGCAAGATTGAGGCATCAAATGCGATATTATTTTCTTATACAATCTTTTTTGTTTTTGTTATCACGTTATTATTATTGACGTTGGCGGAAATCTTGGTGGGCCGCCCCCCCCCCCCACCTTCCGGAAAATTGACGAATTTTCGGAAATTTTGATCTAAAAGGAGGGTCTTAATGGGGGTCTTTGGGTGTCAGTTGTCAGCTAAAATTTAAGCCAGTTGTCAGTTGTCAGTGCGATATATTGCAAGCTGTCAGTAGTCAGTTACTGCAAAATGCTGACTCATCACTTTTTCATCATTTCTCAGTTGTCAGTTAGGATATTTTGTCAGTTGTCAGTCAAAAATTCAGCCAAATGTCAGTAGTCAGTTAACCCCATTCAGACAGACCCTCTAAGAGTGGGCTAAAAACAGTCTTTTCGAGTGCAAATTGGGGGGGGGGGTACGTCGGAAATTTCAAAGTTTTGTCGGAAATTTAGGAGGCTTTGCCCCCCCCCCCCCCCCCACACCGGAAAAAGTGAATTTCCGCCACTGATTATTGACTGTTGTAGCAATATTTATTGGAAAGTTTGTATTTCAGCCGTTGGTACTTGTTACGGAATGGCTATGTAAAGCTATATATATAGTGTTAAACGTGGTTAAAAAATAAAAATATTTTGACTTTGTTTCTGATGACATTTGCCGACTCTCGACTTTTTACTCTCGATCGACTCTCGACTTTTTACTCTCGACTCTCGACTTTTTACTCTCAACTCTCGACTTTTACTCTCGACTCTCGACTTTTACTCTCGACTCTCGACTTTTACTCTCGACTCTCGACCTTTACTCTCGACTCTCGACCCTCGACTTTTAGATACACTCGACGACAGCGAAATAGCAAACATTTTTTCATTTCTTGATTTGATGATTGATTGATTTCTTGCACATATATTTCATTTTTGCTCGCATTTTGGCAAGATTTTGTAAATTTCGTAAAGAGGGGAGAAAAGGGAGCCGACATTAACGAAGGTAAGTTTGTTTTAAATATTGATTTTATAATGACTTTAAAACCCGACGGCCTTTGCGTATATGAAACAACTAACAACTATTAACAACTAT